ATTTTTACTAGATTTTACTAAAAACTACAATTTAATGAAGTATTTAAATTAACCTTTATAATTATAATAATAGTAATATTACCTTTAAAAATTAGTTCACCACCAGTCTGATATCTGTTTAAAAGATTTGACTCAAATTGATCTGCGAGTTCACGAAGCGTGTTGGGTAATGGTGGTAATGATCGTTTTCGACAACTTCTCATTAAACTTTCAGCAGTTTTCCATGAATAATGAGCCGCAGCATTCTGATTTCTATTATTAATAATAATTAATAATAAATAATAATTAATAGTTATTACTAAGTACATATGTACTAAAAAAATTTAATTAAAAAGAATTAATTTGAATAAGACTTACAATCTTGCTTCTTCTTCATACATTTCATTTAGTGAGCCAATTTCATTTTCACTTCTTTGTTTCAAAATGTTTTTAAAATCAATCATATTCGAATCTTCGTCAATAACCAAATGATTATGATGTTTAAGTACCTCATATTTTTTTACTCCATCATTGACAAAAACTTTCATAGAACCAGGACATCCAAACTTCGATGCAAATTTACATTTGTAGTAACTAAAACATATTATATTGTAAGGCATAATGAAATAAACAAACAGTTCGTTGCAAGTTTTTTCAAGTAATAAAATTAACATGGAAAACTTACCAGACTCCTCGACTATTGGAACCGTTTTTTACATAATAGAAATGTTGATGCTTCATTTTAAATTAATTAAATTAAACATAACACTGGAAGACACGAGTGCACAAAACACGATGCTTAATGACAATAGTTATTAAGTCATCTCAGTCAAATTTAGCGGGATATTATATTATTAGGTTAAAACTGGTAAAAGGTATGTCGTAATCTCGTAAACAATAATAATATTATTTACTCTATCTCGTAATATTTTACATCTATAGACAGTGTTCAGCCGCCCGATAACAATGCGCTCTGGTTGTCATATGCGGTACTAATGTTATGACTAGTATATTAATAGTGTAATGTGTAGTACGAACTACGAATTTAGTATTTTTAGTATTTACCTAATTCGACTTGTTTTTATGCTAAATTCTTCAAAACCGTAATAAATATGAGTAATCGTATATGTTGTGTTGTTAATTGTTCTAACACATACAAGAATACTTCGAATGTGAAGTTTTTTAGATTTCCTAATAGACCGTACGAAAGAGAATTGAAAAATCAATGGATTCGAGCAATAAATCGTCTTGAGTAAGTTTAATGTCCATGTGCGCTATAATACCATATCAATAACTGCTAAGAAGTTATATTTCACACATGTATTTTTTTTTTTTATTAGTGACAATGGGAAATTATGGCAACCAATCAATAGTAGTCTGGTTTGTGGCGATCATTTTGTCAATAATAAACCATCAAAGCATCCTCAAAGTCCAGACTATATTCCATCAATATTTCCTAAAGCATATAAGAAAAAAACACAGAATAATCAACAGCGTGAAGCGAGGTATAAAAGAGTACTAAATCGTCAAGACAGAACAAATAAGCAATATCAAGATGAGCTACCTGAAAACTTAAATGAGTTATCAGAAAGTGTTTTTCATAATAGAAATTTGACATGGGATGTTAGTACTCAGGTTGCTTTTGATGTTACTGATTCTGGTTTTTTTAATTTTGAATGTAGTTTTGATAATAATAATGCTATGACTCAAATATCTGGACCCTCATTAGTAAAATATTGTAATATTCAGAAAATCGATCAGTCATGTGGTCCAGATTATCCTTTATTTGATAGATATTTTCATGGTTTTATATCAATTAAAAATGAACAACATTTAAAGGATCTAACTGGTACTACATTTCAAGTTTTTTATTTATTATTAAGTTTTTTATCTGATTCATCTTACTATAGTTTTGATAAAGAAAATCGTCTTCTAATGTTCTTAATAAAAATTAAATTAGGTATTACATATTCTGCTATAAGTAGTATATTTAATTGCAGTCGTCAAACTACAACTCGGATATTTTACAATACATTACACATTTTAGCAATAAAAACTAAAGAGTTCATATTTTGGCCTTCTAAATATACAGTTCGTGAAACTCTTCCTGAAGCATTTAAGAAAAATTATCAAAATTGTCGGTGCATAATTGATTGCACTGAAATCAAGACCGAACAACCCAACACTATTGAGCAAAGGGTATATATGTATTCGAGATATAAAAGTTCCTATACTATTAAAGTATTAGTGGCAGTTACGCCTAATGGTATGATATGTTTTTTATCCAACTGTTATGGGGGTAGAGCTAGTGATACTTTCATAACAAATGACAGTGGCTTCTTAAGCAAATTGGAACCCGGTGATGTAGTTCTAGCTGACAAGGGGTTTCCTAGTATTAAAACACAGTGTGAAACAAATTCAAATAGTATATTAGTTATGCCTCCAATTCTTCATAATGGAAGATTCACTGAACATGAAGTCATTGAAACATATTCTGTGGCTAGTGTTAGAATTCACGTAGAAAGGGTGTTTGCTAGGTTGAAAACCTATGGAATATTGAATAAAATAACAATGGACCTCATGCCTTCCATTGATAATATAATGCATACTTGCTGTGTTTTGACTAATCTACAAAATCCTATCATAAAAGAATAATTTTTTTTCTATTGTAAGTAAAAATGATTACCTATGTATTTGTATTGTAATTTTAATCTAAAACGATAATTAGTAGGTAAATTAAAGGTTATGCTAACTATTAAACTATTACCTTTACTCAAAAATCTACATTCAATAATTATTATTAGCCAATAAGTATATATTTAAGTTAGTTAACTAGTTTAAGTATAATATACAACCAAAAAACTATTGTATGAGCATTTGTAATAAATTATGTAATAATACATAACACATTAATAATACATACAAACAATATTACATAATTTATTACAAATACTCATAAATATTATGTACCTATATATTTTATATACTTGTTTAAAGATTTCAATAAAAATTATATTCCTAGCTATGTAAAGAAAGTTATTTTTATAAATATAATCATTCAACATGTTTCAAAAAAAAAAAAAACAAATTAATAAAGAACAATACATAATATTTATTCTAAACAAATTAAATAAACAATAAACTTGGTAAAAAATATTTGAAATAAAAATAAGTCATTCTTTCAAGTAAAGACCTGATGAATGTTTGATCTCTCCCTATTTTAATAATAACTGGTTCAATGGTGTTATAAACAAAAAATGTACAATATTCAACACCTGTACAATGTATTAACATCTGACACTGAGTAAAATACATACTACTTTTTCTTAATACTATTTTTTCGCACAAGTCATATTCCAAGTATTTTAAATTTATTTTACCTCCATCAGCGATTGGTTTATTTTTACATGATATTGGACATTTTACCTCAAACACTTCTTGGATATTTCCAAACTCATCAAGAATTATACCATCAGGGCTTGCACATACCCAAGGTCTTATAATATCAAAAATCAAACCACATTTTATAATATCTTTCCCAGTTAATAATTTAAAATATTCAATAGCTAAAACCTCAGTTTTTTTCCCATAATTTACATTCAAATTACCTGTTTTGCCTAATTTGTTATCTTTAAGCAATATATTGGCAAGGTGTTTTAATCCTGTATCTGTCCAACTTTTGCATATTTTAATTTTATGTGCTTTTACACTGGCTGATAATCTAATTTTTCTTTCTACGTTCCACCTTTCACATTCAGATTGATTAATTGTTTGATTAAAAATATTGAACATAATAGGTTTACTTATACAAATTTTTTCATAGAAAAGATTATGTTCTTTAAAATTGAGGGGAAATATAACATAATTTTGAGTTTCAAGATGTTGATTTTGTTTGTAAAATATGGATGATAAGAATACTCTGTTTCTCTTAATTATTATTTCACATTCTAATTTATCTATAATACTATCAATACATAACTTACATTCTCTTTCAACCTCAGTAATACTTTCTGATTTTATCATTCTACTTAGACTACAGGGAATATTCAAAATATTATAATTATCAATTAACATTTGATGTACAATTGGGACTTCATCATTAATCAATAAACATTTATGTTTGTTTGGAAAAAGCTGATTAAGTCGTTTGCCTTTTTTATATTTGTCTTCTCCAATTTTGGATGGTCTGCCCCATTGTTGTGGTAAGTCAGTCTTTGATAAACTTTCTTCATTATTAATATAATGGTATACTGCACATATATGTTTACATATACCTCCTGCTCCTGCAGGGCATCCACAATCTGTGTTGTTAACTGTTCTTAAATTATCAATCTAAAATTGTATAGAATATGAAATCATCAGTAGACATTCATTAACCATTCTAAAAATAGCTACTGTACTATCTATTCTACTTTGTACTCACTTCGAGGGTCACTTTCCAGGGGGTTAATGTTACTGAAGTCTGCCTTATAACATGTCCACTGATAATTGAAAAATCATTTGCTAATTTTAATTCTTGAACATTTTTTACGTGTCCACTTTCAAATAAATGCTGTCCCTTATTATTTGGTAAATCAAATTTTAGATAAATAGTTTGAAATCCATATGTAATTAAAATGTCGCCCATATTAACACACACTACACACAATTAATATTAGACATTTAGACTAAAGTAATTTTTGTTTTGTTAAATATTGATTAGATGGTGGTCAATAAATTAATGCCAACTAACATGAATATAGAAAATTAGAATAATATTATTATTATCTACCATATGTAGGGACAGTTTGTACTGTTTGTAGAGAAATTACACTCCATGTCTTCATCGGCTAATCATATACTGGTGTGACGCCAACGTTGAAATATTGATCATAATAGTATAAATAATTAATTTCAAAGATATTAAATATTAGTTTTATATTATATTTATATACTATTATTATAGTTTAATAAATGTATAGTTTAGCTTCATTTACCGCGCGTAAAATAATATCATAACATTAATGTGTACATTGACTACTTGTAGCGCTAGTAGTACGGCTGTACAATGTCTATA